GAGTTTGAGGCCAAACTGGGCTACAGAGTTCTGGGACAGCACCAGCTATACAGAGAAACCTGTTCTCAGGAAAGTAACAAGGAAACAGAAACCAAAAACCCCACAGCAAACAAACAAACAAACAAATCCAACCAAAAAAATAACATCTGGGTTTCCAGGTGCCCCTGATACAGCTGCACCAGGAGAGCCCCTTCCTGCCCTGGTAATTTATTAGATTAAAACAACTGTGGTTTCTGGTGGTTCTAAAGACACACTGTCCTTATCTAGGTGTCATTTTGAAGACTGAGACTTGTAACAGAGTTTGTGGTTTGAACAGGAATGACCCCTGTAGACTCATGTATTTGAACCCTTGGCCCATAGGAAGTGACACTATTAGAAGGTGTGGCCTTGTTGGAGGAAGTATGTCACTGTGGAGGTGGGCTTTAAGATCTTATATATGCTTAAGCTATGCCCAGTGTGACACAGTCTCCTTCTGCTGCCTGCAGATCAAGTTGTATAATTATAGGCTCCTCCAGCGTCATGTCTGCCTGCATTGTGCCATGCTTCCTACCATGATGATTATGGACTGAACCTCTGACTTGTTTTTTTTTTTTGGGGGGGGGGGTTGGTTTTTGGAGACAGGGTTTTTCTGTGTAGTCCTGGCTATCCTGGAACTCACTCTGTAGACCAGGCTAGCCTCGAACTCTCGAACTCAGAAATTCGCCTGCCATTGCCTCTCAAGTGCTGGGATTAAAGGCATGCACCACCACCGCCCAGCTTGAACCTCTGACTTGTAACCCAGCCCCAATTACATGTTTTTCTTTACAAGAGTTGCCTTGGGCATGGTGTCTCTTCACATCCATGAAAAGACAAATTTTATCTTTGAGAATGAAGGAAATCCTTTGATAAAGTCTGTGTTTTATATTTCAAACATGTGAATGTCCAGATGGAGCAAAGGGCCTGAACAACATAGATATCTCTGGGAATATTTGCAGAGTCATGTGAAGAGGACCCAACCAGGGAGAAATCAAAATGGCAGCCCTATGAGGGGCTAAGGAAAATGGATTAATGCAGGAGTACTGTGCGAATGCACCACTAACCAAGGGTTCTTATAACATGAATTCCTCAAACTGAGTGTTTTCTGCCCAACACAAGTAGATTTGACCCTAACAACTTTGGAGAAAGGAGATGACACTATCAGGTTTATATGAATTGTCTTACAGAATGTTAGTTTCAATAAAAATCTTAAAATGGCTAATTAAAAAAATTAAACCTGATTTTTTTTCTTATCAAAGATCTGTTAATTTTACTGGACAGAAGGAAATTCCAAGTATCACAGTTAAAGAAAGATCTGTGGGGGATCCTGAAAACATT